GCTGTCTATTAGCCGCCATATCCCCCAGTGTCTCTAATCAACCAGTTACAGTCTTTTGGACCCCAACCTGGAAGACGGAGACACCTATTATACCTAATCGCTCTATGCATTTCTTCACGCTTCGTTTCCACGTCATCTATTGACCTCCACGTGGTTTTCTCCAACCTAGAGAAGTAACCACGAATAAAGCGCGAAGCGGTAGACTATAGCTTGGCATATGCAATACGTGTCTTAACCAGCGAAGCCTACTTATCGGAATTATATATGCTACGAATTCTCCACCGAATCACTGCCAAGTGCGCGACGACTTACCCCCAAAGTTGCTTACACGCTCGCTCCACCTGACTCGAACCGAACTAAGTAAGTAAACATCGGCAGTCCAGGATGTCTAGACGACGGATAAATTTCACGCGCAAATTTACGGTCTCACTGACACGGTGTAGCGACCTTTCAGTTTCAACAAAACGTCACACCTACACCAAAGGTGTTTCAATAAACTGCTTGTTACTTTGACTACACTCCTGACATTTGTCACGGAGCTACCTAAGTAGGAGAAACAAACCAAACCATCTACCACTCTCTCGTAACCCCGGGTTCGAAATTTTCAGCTTCAATTTTCCCATTACTATTTTGCCTCATCTCGATTCGCCTAATGGGCTCTCTCATGGTCGAGAAGTTGTACATTCATTTTGAAGTTATGTGAAGCAATGCAATATGAGTTCTTGCATATGTTTGTTTACCAGCAAACAGTCACCATAGAAATTTATATTAATTTTGTTCCAGGGCTATAACCGGGTTGGTGAACTACTGGCAATTCACCTAGGGAGNGGGGGTTGGCCAAAATCCTGATTCCAAAGCAACCAAGAGGAGGTATACGAACCACCCACACATTTCCGGTTGTGGATTCCTCAAGGAATTTCACTGGCTATCTGGCAGTATTCCGCCCATATGCAAATCATAGAACGTCTTTCTTTTTCATAAAGATCATTGTACCATGATTTTTTGGCACAGCCTTGCCTCAAACAGGTGATTATATATATATATATCCTCCAGAAAAGGTGTAGAATCACGAACCGCCAAATGTCTCACTCACTGAACAATAAGAGTCGCACAAATGTAATTAGACTGTAAAATGGTGTGGCGTGGATGAGAAATGATGCAACAAACATGAAGCACTATGTAACAAAGACAGGCAACACGGTAAACTGCAGTCGACAGTCTGTTGCCATTGGCATTATGGATGGAATGCAATGGTCAATCGGGGGTTAAAGAGAACAAGGTAATTTCTGCCAGCTGATCGACCGAGGTTCGTTCATTCTCGTCTGAAGTTCACACGATCAGCGGGCCCGGGTGATGGTAGGGGGAAGAACAGTCAAACCCCATCCTACCTTACCGAAACCTTTATTTCCCCATCGAAGGTATCCAGTACACAAAATTCTATCGCACAACACAGTGGAGTCCCGAAATATCATCGTTGCTACTCATGAGTAGCGTCAAACTCCGTACAAAATACCTTATTTTTCGCTGTGAAGCCTACTGCAGCTGGGATGGATACCGCGGTATCTAGCAGACACGGCTCGTGTCGATTGATATTGTCGCTTTGATGGGTTTTCCTGTTGTTCCTAGCATGTATGCTCTCAAACAGCTTGCAATCACGGTATTTGTTCCTTGACATTTGCCCTCGACACACCATTTGCAACTAATTTGCGCACCTGGGTGTTTACAATCTGCTATCATTCAGTGCTTTTTGTTGCATATAATCCTTCTTCAAAGAGGATAAAAGAGTTTTTCACCTGCTCATCCTATTGGATGGTACTGGGAGAAGAGGAGGTTGTCTTTCCGTCCTGATTACGGTTTCAGCTCGTTCTCAGGTCACGGCGTGACCTTTTTTGTTGCGTCATTTTATCCTTGAGTTGCACTGTCATGTACAAGTGATCCAATTCGATGTATCTGTTCATTGAGTTGATTGAAGAGTGCCAAGCCTCGAGAAATTCTCTGGCGTGTTTTGACCGGGCTTGGTCGATAATTCTCACTGATTCGAAGTCAAACTGATGTCCTTGATCCTCGTGGAGGGAAATCAACGAAAGTGGGTCATGTCTCCTGATTGCTGATTAGTGTTCACGAATCCTTGTTGACAGATGTCTCCCCGTTTGACCGATATGGTGTTTTGGGCAGTTCTTGCTGTTTATTTTGTAGATAGATAGGCGATCGGTTTGTGGGCGATCTTGGATTGCAAATAATCTGAGCGGTCCTACTGTCATTTCCGAAACGTCCTTGATTTACGGCAGGGTCGTTTTTGTTTCCGATTCTCTCACGGTTATTTTTTTCTTCCTTTAAGTTGGAGTTCTTCTGATGAAGTTGCGGGTGCAGCCATTGCAAGCAAATACTCTGAAGAGGTATCTTTCTTCTTGTTTATTTCGATGCTGTATCGCGTTTGGATTCTTCCGAACAGGGTTCTCACAGCATCCTTTGTGGCTATGTAGATGATTACTTTAGAAGTCTAGGATTTGATCCGTATATATTGCCTTGCGGTTTACCGTTGTCTCCAGTTTTCCTGATGGCGTTCTGATTATCAAGGTTTCTAAAATGCTAGTTTATCCTTCTCCATCTCCATTGTGAACTTGATGCTATTGAGTATTATTGATAATGTTGTGTGTTCATTCTAGTTTCGAACGTGTCATCAACTACTGGGAGACAAAGGTTTGACATGCTTCTTGGTGGTACCTCCTTTTCCAGCTGCTGCATTACGGCTTCGGCTATGAATTCAGAAATTCGTGTTTATTTCGGCTGTTCGTGGACTTCACCCTCGAATTTGAAGTACGTCTGTATGCATAGTTCCATGAGTTCGCAAATGGCAGCTGATTCCATTTGTTGGTTGGTTGGGTGCTTAGTTATCAATTCCCGCAGTGTGGATCCTGTCAAGTCCAAGTCGATGGAAGTGAACAAAGCGGTGAAATCGAACGAGGCCATTATTTCGTCTTTTTGGATGTTGAGAGTTCTGAGCTTTGATTTCATGACGCTGTACTCATGTCCTGCGATGAGTGGCTTCAGTCGTTTCCATAATTCTTTTGCTAACTTGTATGTGGCTGCTCTTGAAAGGGAGACGATCGGGAACAAGCAGAACACTGCCACTTCACATGCACTGATGATGTCACCTCGGCTGGTAATGAAAAGTTTGCAAACAAATTGCCAAGCTCGATGAACAGGCGAAATGGAATTTTCTAGCTTACAGATATAGTATCAGATATGAAGCGAAACCATGGTTCGCATTATACCTCGTTTGTCATCCTATTTCGTTTATCGGAATACTTCTGTCTGTCATATCCTTAGTGTGCTGTAATATCCTCCGGTTGTAGTAGTAAGGATTTCTCTGGTGGGTTTCGAGAAGTTCTTAAATATTTCACGGCTTTATACTGTAACCAAACGATAGGGTTGGAGGATGTTTTTTCTGTGTCAATAGTCACCTTTTCAGCAAGGCAATTTCAGTGCATCAGCTGAATTGCCCTGGTACATGACCTACAAATGCATAGGCAACGTCCGCCCTGTTCGCAGATCGAAAAAAAACAGCTAGGTGTGTAAGTCAGTGTCGATTGTTCCCGTCAGGATTGAAGCCCCAGAGATTCAGACAGTTGTTGACTGGAAATACGAGGAGATTTGGCATTGGATCGAAGTTTGGGTTGCTTTATGACGTATTTGTGATCATTGTTCTCCTCTAACTGAAAACAATCGAATCTGTGCAGCAAACGCCCAAGAAAATGTGCAAACTGTGATCGTTTCCTTCAGTACCTGGTTACGTTGGTAATTTACGTCCAGCTATCAGTATCTTATTTTTTCGGGGCAACTTGAACCCAGCTTTGTTATACAAACAGTTTCTCATCTTTCTAGTCACGTGTGTGTGCATCAATATCTTGACTACAACGCAGTCAGTGACAAGATATTCCAGAAATCCTCGTTTTTGTGCTCCGGAACTAATACCTACTTATTTGATTGAACATTTCTACTCCCATTAAACTTTGACAAACCGAAAAACGAGATTTGGATGGGTTCGACTGAATCCTATACTTGTGTTATAAACTTTGAAAATGTCACCGGGATCGTCTGAACAAGAGGAGCTCTTAATCAGGTAGCCCTGTGCAGAACCCCATCATCCAAATGCACAGTATTGATCGTGAATCACGACTGTCTATCTGTTATTTCTTCACTCCAGGAAGCTTCGATTTCTCGTTGGTAACTGAGCGTTTATATTTTAATCTTCGAATGAAGCAGCTTAGCATTTACACGAGTTTCGGTTATTGTTTTTCTGAGTGATACATATAATTGACTTGGGATCTGGTTGTCTGTCAGTAGTCCCTAGTTTTCTACATTGGTTTTGCTGGGACTTAAAATCTATACGATAGCCATAGTACACAGTCACATCCGCAGTTCGCCATTCTTACGGATTAATGTATACAAACCTATTGGGCTGAGACATGGTCTAATGAGTAACGATGTCTGTGCTGATATAAACTTCACTGAATTAAATCCACTCTGCATAGTAGTTTCGTTTCGGCAGTGTAAATTTCACATAATAATGGGGTAAGGGACATTTGTTTCATATCCCGGTGTAATCAGTAACGATTTTGGCGAACTAGTAGGCTGAATGCCTTCTTTCTATGAAAAGCAATACAATGCTGCCACCCTGTTGATACCTCTAATTGAAATTGAATCAAGTCACGTTAGTAGGACAAAAATGTGAGAAAATGAAACGGCCACTATCGAGCTACCTTAAACCCAGTCACAGAGTATGACTGATGCTTGTGAAAGTGCTTCGTATCAAAGGGTAATACGAGAAAGGAAAGTTCATATCGGTGAAATTAGTATGCTTGAACTGGCATTTGAAGGTTTCTCAATTGTAATCCTGCATCTTCTTGAAAACGACTTTTACCTACATACATAAATACAGACAAACCAACACATTGTAATGTGTCACTGGTAAGCAGGGGCCCTCTTTGTGGGTAAACTCATATCAAACGTTTATCTTCTACCGGCGGTCGAGTGATCTGCATCAAACATCGAAATTGTTCCAAATTGACAGTCAACGATTCCGGACTGGGCAGAGCACTGGATGAAACCCTCCGAGCCGGACGAAAACCTGGAATTCCAGATGGAATTGAGCCTCCGCCTCCTGGTGGATTTGAAGCTGGGCCAATCAGTGAATCCGCCGGGGTAACGTTAGTCCCGTACGCTTTTCCCTTCCGAATGCGGGCACGACGTTGCTGATCCTCGTAGAACTGTTTCAGCTCCTCTGCCGTATTACTGATCTGACCGCCAAGAAGCATCGCGGCAAAGTCGTCATCAACCAACTCGTTTAGCTCTAACTTGACGGCAGCTTGACGCAAATCATCCAAATCAATGTATCCCTTGTTACCCTGATCAATCAATTCAAATGATTTGGCTATATCCATATTAGAGTCCAGTGCGAGCATGCGGTCGGTCACCAGGCTAAGAAACTCACCGAAATCAACGCGGCTGTTATACTCCTTTGTTTGTTGTCGCAATTCTTTGACTTCGCTCACATCGGTATCGTAGCCCAGTGCTCGGAAAGCCACCTAGTTAGCAACAGGCAAGAGAAACTATGTGATCTTAGCAATATGCTATTGATTCGAATAAGTAAACCTTGGGTCATCTTGCCTTCTACCGTTTGACGCAAAATGGAAGGTAATAAAACACGTCATGAAAAAGGACAGATTCGGTATTTCATAGATATTGTCTCTTGCTATAACCAATCCTCAGCGTTTTTGAATAGGCATGGTTGCCTTCAGACTGTTCTTCAGTGTTAAGACCAATACATTAGAGTGTAACTGGTCTTTTAAATTTTCGTTCTGATAATGTTAACCGGAATACGTTTTGTCTTTATTTGAAGGTGAATAAACCGAAATAAACAATCATGGATATGCATCGGATCATAAAAGATTGGATTTCTGTGTATTCGCATTTACTGATCAACAATTTCGTAACAGCTGGGTTCAAACCCATATGAAATCAGCTGATGGTACGGACAGCAGATGATGAATGTGATGTGATGAAATATTTTACGCCCTGTCTATCGATGAGTGTCATTTGAAAGAAATCACCTGTCTAGAATTCGATGACGAAAAAGCGAGTTAGTTGAGTGATAGCGAATCTCAGTTTTCGGTTTTCAATGAACTCGTCTCAAACAAATGGAGCTTTTGTGGTGACTTTTGATACAGTGCGCACCAAAGTCGAAAGATTACTCTCGCTGATGGAAGCGAAATTCAGTTCACTTACTCTAACTTAGTTGTGCAAACGATAGTTGCGATGCGCCCAGTCGGTTAGCGGGGCTGCGGAGTAAGATGTTCGATTTCGATGAGCGCAGTAAGACTGACGCACTATGTGAATAGTTGCAATTGCTTTTGCTAGGGCACTGACGACGTTGAACAGGTAACTCACCAAAGGTCATCGTAACAATTATGACTTGGGTCTAAACCAGCCCCTTGCTGTGATTGAGCGATGTACTTTTACTTCGGGAATCACATCATAGCATCATGTGTTCAACCTACTCAGCCACTAAATCGTGACTAACAATGGTGGTGCTGACGTCGATCAATGCTGGGCATAATGTTTGTATCAGTCGGTTTTAGTATGTAAGAGCAATAACAAAACGAACAAGCGAATGAATGTACACGGCCACCGCGGTAATCATTTTTTACCGAGTCAGTTTCAGCTTTTACAATCATTAACCATGTGCATGCGTGCGCCGGTTTTGGTTGCTGTCTTTTGGTCTCCCATTTGGATAAAAGAGCAGGATGAAGATTAGAATTCTGAAAGCAAATTTAAGCGGAAGATGGAGAAGTTGCAAGAATAATGAGTAGATGTATGAGCGTCCCTGTTTGTGACACCCAGCCGTATCATTCTGTGTTTCTAACCATGGATGACCATGATCTGGGGGTCCCCAGCCAGGGAGCTTAACGGGCCCTATGTGACACAGACTCCTGGCTAGGTTTTTTATACTCTCACGCCAGGTCTTCGTTTGACCGCCCTTGACCTTCCAACAGCTACCTGCCTCGGCATACATCGCCCGCCGTGACAACCTATTTGGGGCCCCAACCAACGTAATATATCGAGGTCGACTATTTGCTGCAGCGGATGACCGCGACTACCTAAAACTCTGCATCTAACCTCAGCATTGCTTGTACGGATACCCTACCAGACTCACGCAATGCGACGTAGCCAGCAGTGTTTGTACACAGACATTTTTATCTTTATCCTGTTCCCGTAGTGACCAAGTCTTTGCACCGTAGAGCAGGACTGGCCGGGCTGCTGCAGCATATACTTTACCCTTCGCAGGTAGCCGGATGTCGCGACGACGCCACAGATATCTGAAGTTGGCAAATTTGGTACCATCACGACGAGACTGCATTTTGCACCAGGAAAACATGAATACATTACATAGCGAACAATGAGGGCTTGAAATATGGAAAAGTAGCCAATGTTCTGCATAAACCCAGTAACAATTATTTCACTTGTTTTCGATTACATGGCTCATCTTGAATGCGGTTTTACCAATGTATGAGGCATTGGATCATTTTTGTAGGAATTCGTTTGAATTGTCAACTATGCTCCAGTTTTTTGATCTAATTATTGTCAAAACTGTTGTATGGTGAACACCGTTTACTGAATCCCTTGGTTGAATTTACATTATAATTGAGTAGAACATTTAGAATTTTGGTTCAGTGATTGGGTTAGACACTTGAGAGGCTGCCTAATGAGAGCATTACTCTAATGTTAAGCTGCGGGTATCATGAACTATTTAAATTTCTTCGATGAAAAAAATGCAGGTGAAAATAATTATTTGAATCCCACCTTAATACTAAATAATTGGACCAGGTAGCATACATATCCCAACCAATTTTTCATACTACTTATAAACATATACTGGTCACTAGCATGCCATGTTGCAGTCTCTGTAATTTTTCGACCACCTGATGGGTGCGAAATAGCAGGAGATTGACTGTAGCTGATAAAGCATTTTAGTGGACTATGATTATTGAAGTATGTTCCTCAGATATCCTTCCAGTTTACCTAGAAGGTTTACCTTAGACAATTGTAACCTCATTTTTCCACTTTATCGCTTTACAAATTCTGTTAGACACATCATTCTTTGACCAGAATGAAGATTTTGATTCACCTCATGGATCATTTCTCCTTAACAATTTCAATCATTTCGATAGCTCATGACAGTTATTTGTCTAATTGTTTAATTATCTGATCAAATGTAAACAAAGCATGTATTGACTTGATAGGAAAAATTAATCTCGCCTTATGTTTTGCTCCGGTTGGGTTCGATTAACTGTGCACCTATGTGAGCCATTACACAGATGACCTTCGAATGTACTTTGCCCATCATCATGTCCCGATTTCGTTCGAAGACATACTTTGTATTTTGTTGTTATTGTTCACATACCGCCTCTAAGCGTTCCTCGTTCCATTCATTTGCGCGTCACCTACCCTTGAACTCTCGCTGTTCCACGCTTACCAATCTCGTGCGTCGTTATATACGAACTACCCTGGATCCTTTCTCCCACCCATGTTTGGTTCTAGTTCATTGGCATCCAGTCCACTTTATTTGACCTTCATATTTGATCGTTCGATTCATTTGCTTATCGGATTGCTTTGCTCCATAGGATCCGATAAACCGTTTGTGCCTTGCATTGACCAATGACTGCGCTTCATTATCGAGCACTTGCGATTGGTGTTTCTACCCCTTAAATTGTCCCCTTTCTATACATAGCTTACACGTTACTTCGTTACAACGTTACTTCAAGACTGAGTTGGTCCAGTAACCAGACTCACTCTAACTGGGGAAGTAATATAGTAAGTGGATAAGTTTTGTTATTTGGGCAGCTACATCTCGCCCGGTGGACGCATCACGAACGAAGTGTCTGCTCGCATACAGATGTCTCAAGTTGGCAAATGTCAACTGAGCCCTCTGTGGCGCCGTCGCGACATCCGGTTGTCTGTGATGGGTCCAGTATATGCCGTAGCAGTTCGGTCAGTTATGCTATACGAAGCAGAAACTTAGCGACTAGGAAAACAGGATAAAGATAGACTGTCGGTGTTCGAACACCGCTGTCTAGGCAGCATTGCACGAATCGGGTGGGGCAGCGGGACTAGCAATGCTGAGGTTGGGCGCAGAGTTTTAGGTCAATGTGTTCGTCCACTGGAGCAAGTAGTCGACCTCCATAGATTACGTTGGTTGGGGCTTGTTACGCATGTCACCAATTAGGTTGCCACGGTAAGAGATGTTCATCGAGGCAGGGAGTGGTTAGAAACATCCAAGGATCATTAACCTAAGGCATGAGAGTAGGAAAACACTAACCAGGAGTCTGTGTCACATAGGTCCCGTTAGTCTCCCTGGCTGGGTAGCTCGGGATGATCGTAACCGATGGTTAGAGACAATGAGTGATATGGCTGTGTCGTGAACAGTGGTGTTCATGTATTTTCTCAATTTCTTGGAAGCCATAGTTTACTGGAGTTCTCAATTTGCTCTTCGACTTTATGTTCAACTTCCTTGTCTTTTTCCTATGCTTCATCCAAATGGGTGGCTAAAGGACAGCAACCAAAACCGGCGCGCGATAGTGCATGGTCAAAGGTTGTACAAACTAAACTGAATTCGAATCTGATAATTCTCTACACTTTAGCACAATCCTTACTTCGTACATTCGGCCACACACCCTGTACTTACTGGGCTCAGATTTCATCCTCATTAGACACTCATCATCTTGCGCTGGATTCGAACTGCGGATCAATCGCATGGCAGGAGTGCGTTACCAGCTCACACCGGAAATGGCCAGAATTAACAATTCAAGTTTGTTCAACCTTCATCTTCAATGAAAGCCTGTCAGTTAGCTGGTCACCACAACAAAGAGAGACAACACACAACCTTAACTTAACTTCATTTGAAAGCCTTTCGCCAAATAAATAAATAAATATGAGTTTACGTACTATGATAAGAAACCAACTAGATTAGAATGTAATTCACACTAAACTCAATTACTCATGAGCAGCGGTGTAGGAGAGAAAGTATTCAGTACCGTTGCATTCCATTTACTAGGGTGAGCTTAGTGGACTTTTCATCTATCTCGTTTGTTCGTATGTAAGTGGGTACATGAAAGTGAATAGCTTCTAATTCACGCGGTTCTCGCTTTTTTAGGACTTCTGATAAATCCAAGGAAGATCAACCCCAATTAGACATGGTTATCAATCCAACTTCTCCCCCATTTGCGCTGCCCTTGCAACACATTACGCAATACCATGAGGCTTTGTTTGTCAAACGCCGTTTAGCAATAAAATGTGGAAACCTGAATTCCGTTCATATTCGCACCTAAGGTGATAAAAACATTACGAGTACTTTAAATGTAATAAATTATTATTTGCATTGTGCTTTAATCAGGAGTGAGAAAACTTACACGAACATCATCCACTGAAACTGTGCCTGCTCCGCTTGTATCAAAAAGACTGAAGGCTTTACGAATATCTTCTTTGAATTCGGCCGTCAGTTCAATTTTAGGCCATTTAGGCACCACGATTCCCGTATCCGATTTGCCTAGACGTGTTGCCGTGTTAGAACCTGCAAATTCTGCTGCCTCTTGCATTTAGTTGGGCGATTCCCGGAGAGTCAAATGTGGGACAGTGTAGGATCGATTTGGTGAAGTGAACATGTGACAATGAATATTTTCACACGTGATTTTACGCAACCGCAACTCGGATTTTAGTGCATAAAATATGAGAAACGTAACGCTTATTGAAACCTCTAGATGTGTTTGGGACTCGACTGATATTTTACTATCGAACAATTGTTTCGTCCAACAAAGTTAGAAATATACGAAAGGAGAAACGCAATATTCGCTATAATCACGCCTCCGTAGGAGTTTCTAGAGTTATCAGTATGCAAGCCCTTTATAAATACAGGCCACATCGGTGGTGTTGGAAATGACAACATTGCTATCGGTAACATAAACGGATTTGGAACTTTTCTCGGAAGCCATGTGAAGGAACACCTAACCAGAAAATCCCAGTGCGCCGTGTATCTTAGAAATGACGTAGTAACTTACTCTTCGCAACTGAATGTACAAAAGTTGTTCTGAAAAATAATTGCTTTGCACGATAATACACCATATCATATTTTATGTGAGATATTTTTGGTTCATTCGTGGAAAACGTCCTTGGCGTTTATTAACTAATAGACTTCCAAGATTGTGGAAATTTTCAAGGTCTAATTTATATACTTACAGCTTAACAACCTCGATTTTTACGTGATTGAAACCTACTTTTCATGCTTTAAGTTATATAAGAAACCGTCCAGTTGTCACATAATACCTTGAGGATCGGACATCCTTTCTTCTCTTTGTGTGTGTTACCACCGGTCATATTTTACGCTTCATACTCGCTCAGTGATACTGAAGGCAGGACCTGGGATCATTACCTTTTAGGACAAGGCCGTATTCTTTTGTTCAGTTTTTGCCGATGTCACCTACGTAAGGGGGATCAAAGCGTAGGCTTGAAAGATATGATAGATGGCTTCTGGAACCCAACTGCATAGACTACATGTTCCTGTTTATTGTTTGGTTTACGCGCTCCCTTTAGGCATAGTGT